AGAGATCAATAAAGATCAAAGAATCATCCCTGAAGATCTGCACCTCCCCATTAAGGTGTAGAAAGTGACAAGGAGAGTGGGTTCAGGAGCTCCAGAGTTGGCAAAAATTGAGCTTCTGAGAGGGAAATAGTGAAAACAGGGGAGAGAGAGTAGGCTTCCAAGGAACCATCCCTGGAATTTCTGCACAGGTATGATGTTGAAGGAGGAAAAAGATATTTGACGGCAATATTAAGCATCATGCCTTTATGTTGTTTTATTCAAAACACAAACATCTTATCAGACATCACCATATTTTGTATCTTTATAGACTTGTCCCACATAGAGCTACTAATTTATATGAATTAATCTCCTAAAGCAAAATGAAAATTGCTGTCAAATATATCCTTATCCACTCTCTTGCTGTGTGGATACCCTGTGTTCTTAGGCAAGTTATTTATCAAATTAATCACTGGGAACCTTTCACAAACAGTTCCATTTTTTGTCCCCCATAGCTCAATGATAAGCCAATCTTACCACTCCATCTTCTTCTTTGCAATTATCTGTACAGAATTCTCTTAACTGTGAAAGTGGCATTAACCATAACTCACCTGGGGCCACAGTGCTACTCAGAAAACCTTATGCATCTTTTGCCAGCTCCCATTGCCACCTATCCCCAGTTGCTATAAGCCTCTTCTACTTTGGGCACAAATTTTACTTGTCTTCTTACTCTCAGTCTAATAAAAATCCAATTGCACTTCTCTTACATCATTGGAATCATCAGGTATAAATTCTATAATCTCTTATTATAAAACATACCAATTAATATTGCATCTATCACCAATTTGCCAGTGCATGGCTAAGTGTACCTCCAAAGCTTCAGGTTATATGGATACTGCTTTGAAAGAAAAAAGGTAGAGAGAATCTTTTCTAGTAACAGTGGAAGAAGGAGAACATCATGACTCATAGCATTTCACCTACAGTTCTCTGGTCCTTCCAGTCCAAGGGCTATGATTACTTATGTCTGAATCTGCAAAGGAGAATAAAAATGTAACAGAAATCCATAAATTCCTTTCTGATTTATTAAATGGGACCTCTACCCTCTACTTTTACTAACTCAGTTCACAACAGTGCCTCACTCTATACTTAAAAAGACATTCACTTCAACTAGTTCTCAGAAGAGAAGGGAAAGTTCTTCATTCCTATGATGGTTTGCAAATGTTCACCTTATAGGAAGTAAATTATAAGAATAAAGTTATAAAACTTTATTTTAATTGGGATGATTCAAGAACATAGTGTCTTGTCATGTAAGACCACTGGAGAAGGAAAGACCAGCAGATGAGCATTGTAATCA